TATATATATATATATATATATATATTGTCACGTCCTCTAAAGTCTTCGTGACAGATTTATGGACCGTTTTAATTTAGGGCGGTTATAAAAAATGTGTAACTTATCGACATTTTACACCCATAGAATGAACGAGAAAAAATGAGGGAAGAAGGGGGTGATATGGAAATAATTCTGGCTAAAATTATAATTATTAAATTATGGATACGATTTATTTCAAGCTTATTAAAATTAATGAATACAAATAATGATAAATAGGGAGAAAATATGCTAACGAGATGACAATAATGGTCTGACTAGGGGTCAGTTTTCGGCAGTTTATAACGTCGAATAGAATAGATATAACGAGAAATACAAATTTACAATGTGACAATTAGTCCGCAGAGGTGGCGACACAGGAGGAAGGGGGGCCGTCTCTGACAGCGTAAAAAAGAGAGACGAACTCCAGGGTTGACAGTGATGTTCGACCACAACGGTAATATGTTGAAGTGGCGACACTAGGTTACGACATTAAGTTTATAGAATGATAAGTGCATTTATGACAATTAAACAAAATGAAACTTCGAACTAAATCAAAGCGTCCGGACGCGAATACTTGAAAAGCAAGGTTGGGGTTTTAAGTCGTAAAAATTGGTAAAGACACCTTAGTTTAGGTGATCGCCAAAAGAGATTCGAAAAGATACATCTGTACAGAACAAGTACTCGAACCGAATTAATTGTCGGTGCCACCTAGGTTCACCATTAAATCCTTTTATCTTGTCTTCTCGTCTTAGTTTTGTCACAGTCAACGAGTTCGCGAGGATATGTGGCGTGACTTTCCTACCGTCCAAATGGTTTCGTATCGGCGCGACGTATATGTGTTAGAAGAGTCAGAAAAAGCAGGAGATAGCTGTGAAAATCATGATAAACGATGGAAGAGGATGAATAAAATCTTATACGGAAGACGGGAATTGAGTCGTGGCGATGCGTGTGAAAATCGGAGAGCGCGCTTTTGAGGAAAAATTTAGAAATTGATCGCAGATGAGGCATGCTTCCGAAAGAGTCGCGAAGCTTAGATTTAAGGTTGGGCAATTTTTCATGATGTTATTAATCATGATAGTCATGGTCATGATGATTGTGTGAGAGTGTTTATATAACCAAACGGTATCGCATTTTGTTTACAGTGAAAACGATGTATTGATGAATCACTCTTAACGTGCCGTTCGCGCTGCGCGTAACAGCGACTCGCTAGCTTCGCTCATGTTTCGTTATTGCCGGGATGCCGATATTATTGCATGCGGTACCACGCACAGACTGGTAGTCAACGGTAGATTGGGAGATGGGAGAGGAGGGGATTAAAAGAAGATATACAGCGAAGAAGGTGAAAAAAGATGACAATTTAGAGATAACCACGAATACATCAGAAGAAAAGTCACAACCGACTCGGGATGCAACAATATATATATATATATATATATATATATATATATAGGGTAAATCGTTTTATTCAATACAGGCGAATATCTCGAGTTTTTTTCAAAAAATATTTCTAACAAATTTTTTGGCTTCAAGGGGAAAAAATAACATCAATTTAATTGTAAATGGCATTTCGAAATTTTCATGATGGCCATTATTTTAAATAGAAATCAATTTTTTCTCTAAATATAACTTGTAGCTGGTAATGAGACAAATACAAAGATTTTCTTTTTTTGAAATTGCATCATTTTTCACTGAGTTACAGCGTTCCAAAATTTATCCTATACCTTCATATGATTTGGTGTAATAGTTTAAAATTACGTGATATGGATGATATCCGCCATTTTTTTTAATTCTTAGAATAGTAATTCCAGATATACCTGTTTTTCCCTCAATTTGATGGCTACCAAGGAGCTCCATGAGGATTGAGATAAACTTCCGCTAAAACGGACCAATATAGGTACATCGTTTTTATCATACTCATGTCTTTGTCACCTACGTATTAAATTATCCTGCTGAGCTTTTAAATAAATGTCTCGAATAACATCAACATTCGGACGATACCAGTTTAGATACTAAATTTCATAAAAAACAGCACCTTGATAATAATTAACACGATATTCGCCAAGAATAACCAATGTCAAACCTTACTTGTGGAGGATAATCACCCATAATTTTAATGTCGACATAGATTTTAGCGAATATCAAGTGTTAACCGCCGATAAAATAACTCGAGTACTAAACTTAACCCCTTGACATACAATGACGAGTCTGACTCGTCATTCATTTCATGGGCCACTGTAGACTTTGACGAGTCTGACTCGTCAAGCGCTTTTTTCGGCGGACGCCATGTAGTTTACAATTAGATTACATAGTTACATAGTAAATAAAATGTACTCTTTCTCAGCTTTCACGTAACTGTTCAGTTGAGCGAAATTAAATAGTATTTTTTGGTCGCATTAAGTTCCATTTAATTTGTATGTCAAGGGGTTAACTTGATTTCCTTACCAGTAAACGAAATAATACACAAATCAATAAATAATTCACATCGGAGCTACATTAAGTATAAAAAAACTAAACAAATTAAAAGTCGATACCTTGATATATGAAGAAAAAATAACACTTGTGTCGACATTACTATTTAATCTACATCTTACTCTCGTACTTAATCTCAAAAGTGGCGCCATCTACAATTAAATTGAAATTGATAATCTCATCGTCTTTTCTCCTTGAAGACATAAAACTTTTGTCTAAAACATTTTCTGAACTCCTTCACAATATATTCACGTGTATTGAATAAAATGGTCTACCCTACATGTACATGTTACAAGGTCTTCTATTAACAGGTTTCATTTTAAATTTCGCGGCATTTTGTACCTGTTATAGATGGAGTTGTCATATTTGACAGTTATCGATTAAAAACTGTACAGTTAATAACAATGGATCGATATTCGCTTGAACAACACATAAAAATAGTGAAAACTCACTACAAACACGGTGAAAACTTCGCAAAGACAGTTCTCAAAATCCGTACCAGTTTCGGTCGCAGAGAAGCACCTTCTCGTCCAGCAATAGTGAATTTAATCGATAAATTTGAACGTCTCGGCCAGGTTAGTGATGTTAAGAACTCAACCCGTGCTCGGCCAGTCAGATCAATTGAAAACGTTGCTGCTATGGCTGAAAGTGTCGCGGAAAATCCTGGTTTACTTATTAGACGTTCGCAGCAATTGGGCATTTCACAAACCAGCCTGCACCGCATTTTGCACAAAATCTTGGCCTACATGCTTACAAAATCCAACTAACACAAGAATTGAAGCCGACGGACCATGGACAACGCCGTACGTTCGTCGATTGGGTATTAGAAATGCAAGCGGTTGACTCTGATTTTTTCAAGAAAATCATTTTGATCGATGAGGCTCATTTCCACCTTTAACGCTACGACAATAAGCAAAACTGCCGCAACTGGGACACTGAAAACCGATGAGCGATTGACGAGCAGCCTCTCCATCCACAAAGAGTGACAGTTTGATGTGGTTTTTGGGCTCACGGTGTCATCGGGCCGTATTTTTTCGAAAATGAAGATGGTTGTATTGTCACAGTCAACAGATTGCGCTACCGAGAAATACTGACAGACTTTCTTTGGCCTGAAATTGAAGAACTGGACCTAGACGATGTTAATTTTCAGCAGGATGGGGCTACATGCCACACAAGCCGTGAAACGATCGCATTATTACGTGAGAAGTTCCCTGGACGTGTCATTTCGTGTAACGGAAACTTCAATTGGCCGCCCAGATTGTGTGATTTGACACCCCTGGATTTTTTCCTTTGGGGTTATGTGAAGGATAAGATTATGCAAATATTCCGCAAACGATTCAAGCACTCAAAGACAATATTCGAACTGTTATTAGCGAAATTGAATTGTGCAAAAACATCATGGAAAATTTCCTCAAAAGAATGACCATTTGTTTAAAAAAATCGAGGCTGCCATTTGGATGATATTATGTTTCACGTTTAATCGCACAATCTGTACTTTGGATTAGAATAAATATATCTCAACGTTTTCAAAAACTTATTCCTTTTTTTATTAATTTAAAATGAAATCTTAATAAAAGACCCCGTATAATGGAATTGAGAAAAACTATTCCAATTACAATATTATTGAGTAATTCTATTGATACAACAGTATTTTTTTGTGTGCTTACTATATTTATACGACGATATTAAGAATTGTTATTCGCTGTTGATTTGCTCATTGGGAGGGAAGTCGAGTTCCTCACCGAGACCTTGGCGAGAGAATTCTCCATTTTACTAATCAACTTTTGAAAAGTATTCCTCTTAGTTATGTCATTAACCTCGGTCGAATCATCAATATCCTCACACTCATTTATGTTTCGTTTGTTTGTCTCGGAAAGGCATGCGGGCTCACCCAACCGCCACTTCTTGTTCATAGAGAATCGATTCCACGACTTTTTGTCAGAACCAACTGTGAATTTACCGTACTCATCATCCTTTTTTTCGTTAATGTCTCTTTGGCGTGCCTTAAAGTTGGCGCACAACGCGATGTCGTCATATAGTTCCTCGTTCTGATATTCCGGAATATCGTCAACGCGCAAATCGCTTTTCGGAGACTGATAATGCTCTATTTCTTCTTCAATAAGGTTCCCGCGCGCTCTTAACTCTGTCTCTTCATTCTTAATTTCCTTTAGGTTTGTGCATGACTCCTGCATCGACTGCATGACCATTTGCTGTCGAGAAAGAATTCTAATTAATTGAAACACTAATGGCTATATAAATAAATAAACAAATATATATAAATATATTTATATATATATTTTTGTGTATATCTATATATGTATCTATATATGTATATACCAGGTGTAGAAGTATGAAACCGGAATTTTTTGTAAAAATTACAGGTCTGTGGTTTGAAAATGATGAAAAATATTTTATTCAAAATAATGTCCATTGCTATTTATACATTTTTCCCACCTCTCCGGCAGTTTATGAATGCCACGCCAAAAAAACATTTCTTCTTTTGAAGCGAACCAGCTATCGAGCCATTTTCATACATTTTCATACGAATTGAAGCGTTGTTCAGCGAGAGCGTGTCCCATTAATGCGAATAGATGATAATCGGACGGAGCCAAGTCTGGAGAATAAGCCGCATGCGTTAGTATTTCCCAATTGAACGCCTCGATCGTTTCCCTGACCCGTTTTGCTGTGTGTGATGGGGCATTATCATGGAGCAAAATGACTTTGTGTTGCCTTTTTCCATATTCCGGTCGTTTTTCACGCGATTTAAATCCATCATTTGCTGTTGGTAGCGATCAGTGTTAACGGTTTCACCAGGTTTTAGCAGCTCATAATAGATTACACCCTTCTGATCCCACCAAACACAGAGCATTGTCTTCTTTCCAAAGCGATTGCAGTGGATGTCGATGGTTCGCCTGGATTCACCCATGATTTCTGACGCTTAGGATTCTCAAAATATAT